TCCGGGAACTTAAGATGAACACAAACAAGGATGATCACCGAGTGTTCAAATGGTGACATCCAAGTCTTGAGAACGGTCAAAAATGGGGTGTCTACAGTTGCCCCTCTTTGACAGAACTCGAAAGTCATAAGAATGACGGGAGTGAGTGTCAAAGCCCAGAGACGACCCATTTTTGACAAGGCCGAACACTTAGACAAACATGCAAAACAATAAAGATATGCGCCCGAAGGCAGGGGCGAAATGCAACTAAAAATGCAAGAAGCCGAGCATAACTTATGATCATACAAAGAAAGCTGTAACGAAGCACATACAATGCAACAGTTTTAAGCTAGCACAAACCAAACTACACTACAATGCAGAGAGGGTGCAAAAGAATTATGCAATTCTCGATATGTCTCACTTGGAGGATACAATACCTGTGCGGCTCGTCTGGTTGCCCCAGCTTCAAATGAACCGTACGTACAATATTGTGCCTGAAAGAGAAAGAAAACTCAACAGGTGCAATATTGTTAGCAACATGCATAATAATGCAATTGAAAGCTGCGCGACAACGCGAATGTAGGATTTAAGGTCTCCTTAGACCAAGGGGTGCACAAACAGTGCAATGATATGCAATTGAATCTAATGTAATGCAAATGATATGCAAAATTACAAAACAAATGTAAAAATAATGCAAATAATATGCAAAACATACAAAACTATGTATAAACAATGCAAACGATATGCAATGCAATTGAATCATGATCTAATCGTGAACGGTTCAAAACCACACAAATGTCAAATAGATAAATGGAGATGCAAAGTTCGTCCACCATAGAAAAGGTGCCGCAACCCTCAAACCACAATATCAGCAGTGGAATAGGCGCGTACACATGCAGAACTATGAGTGATGTAGACAGACACAAGAACAAGTAATTGGGTGGAATGACATAAGTGGGGAATGACCCGCCAACGAAAGAACATGATCCTAATGTTGGATGCAATTGAACTACACTACAACGCAGTATATACAGTGGATATGGCACGCGACCGAAACATATCTTGCCTAGGAAAGGCATGTACACATGCAAACCGCGTCTAACACAGAAACAGTGCCGCAACCCTCAAACCACAATACCAGCAGTGGAATAGGTGCGTACACAAAAGTCTCAGATCCATGCTTCGACGTGAAAAGTATGAGCATATACTAGACCAAGCTCAACATGGAAAGGCGCAAGCCATAGCTAGATGTGATGCGGTAAATGCATGCAAGCTACAATGTAACATATACAAATATGCAATGGAGTGGAATATTTACAATGGATAAGGCCTGCGGCCCAAACCGTATCTTGCCTAGGAAAAGCACGGACACAAACAAGCCACGTCTAACACAGAAAAGGTGTCGCAACCCTCAAACCACAATACCAAAAGTGGAATAGGCGCGTACACATGCAGAACTATGCTTCGACATGAAAAGTATGGATACATACCAGACCAAGCTCAACATGGAAAGGCGCAAGCTATAGATGGGGGTGATGCAGTGAATGCATGCAAGCTACAATGCAATATTTACAAATATGCGATGGAATGGAATATATACAGTAAAATATTCATGACAATGCAATATTTACAGTGAATATATGACATATGCACTATTTACAATGAATGCATGACATATGCACTATTTACAATGAATGCATGACAATGCATGTTTGTTTTCTGTTTTTGCTTTTGAAATACAAATGATGCATTTTTTTTTTTTTTTTTTTTTTTTTTTGAAATGCATGAAAAGTGCATAACGATGCATAATGATGCAAATGTGTGACAATGCACGTCTTTTGATATGCATGACAATGCATATGACCCTGAATGCGCGACCACGCATGTCGCTTAAAATGCTCGACACCGCACATGATTTGTGCATATCAATGCATGTATGGCGCGCGCGACAATGCACAAGCATATCAATGCACCAAAGGTCTTGCACCTTCCGAGGATTTAAAGTCTCCTAGACCGTGCGTATTTAACGTCTCGCCAGACTGGGGAGAGGTGCACAACAATGCAAGTCGTGTGCATGACAATGCGAGATGTGTGCATAACAATGCGTATGAAATGACGTATAACCAACGCATGTTCACGGCAAAGCATTGTAAAGCAACTCATGTGGAGCAACTTTCGAATCTCGCGAGAGACAAAAGAATACAAAAAGGATACACCTTGCACATATTCGAGTGCTACGCACAAAAAACACGGTCCGAGGTCACAACGAGAGCCAGTTTAAGCTTCAAAAATGCCTGTTCTTGCACTGAGTTGAGAAATGGAGGTCCCAAACCACATATCTGACCCAAACAAAGGTTTAGGAGGATCACCGGCCATCAGAGGAGATCACCGGCTGTCCATCGGGCATAAAAAAGTTCCACCGGCCAAATGTTTGGCTGACCGGCCAACAGTGTGACCGACCGGCCAAACATGCCTGAATCGGGGCAGTTTGGTCCTTTGGCCACGGGTCTTTTAAAATAGGGGTTGAAACCCTATTTTCTTCACTTGATCTTGCTAAAAAACTCCTCCCCCACCTCTCTAGGCTATTTCTCTCCCTTCGATCCTCTGTTTTCCTTGGTTTTAGAGCCCATTTCGACGTTCGATTCGCGAATACCTTCGCGTTTCGAACATTTTGAGCCGAACAAAACTTTGTTTCGATGCCTTTTTTTCGATTTCCATCATTCGGGGCTTGTTTCCCTCGAGTTCACCTCGATCTCTGTGCTTTTTCCACACCCCGACTTTTTCGGCCATTTTCCGCCCTCCCGGGGTTTGACTTTTCGGTTGACCTTTCGTAATCTCACCCGATTTTTACATTTTTGGTCATTTTCACGCTATTCTTAGCATGGCAGATGATCTTCCACAGGGCGGGACTCCCCCGGAGCATGAGATGGATCCAGAGGCCGAGCTCTTACCCTTGAGCGTCTGCCCGTTCGACCCGGCGACCTACAGGCCGATGATTCACATGCTACCTCCCGATGGTCTCCGCCAGTTCTGGAGTTTCGATAGGGGTGTGCCACCAGAGCTATTTCTGCGCGAGCCAGAGTCTCATCTGTCTTTCAGTGCTTCTAAGGTACAGTCTTCCCTCTTTATTTTTCGCAATGTAGAACATAACTGCCATAGTTGATTCTGTTCTCTAACTGCTTAGCCCGGATACATCGATACATTACACACTGTATTTCACTGTGAACGCACTTGCATCTGATACCCGTTTGAATCCGAAAACGTACACATACGCTGTATCTTCATTGAACCACACAAACACACTGATACATCAGATATTGTAATTCACTTCGAGCACACCAGCACCCGATATCTGTTTGAATCTGAAAACGTGCACACACGCTATATTTGTATCAATTTTGACTGTTCTTCAAAACTGTATATTTCATATTGCTTCGCAACTGTTTGCTTTTGAATACAGGGGGATTCCTATGCCTTCTGGGGGTATGGGACTGTTGCCGTCCGCGATTGGTACATGGAGCTGCCCGATGCGGTCCGTCACATTGTAGACCAAGCCGGTTTCGGCGCCTTCTGTAGGGGACTTTCCAGACTTACAACGAGCAGGCCTCTGCTGGAATCTCTGGTGGAGAGGTGGTGGGACACCACCGATTCCTTCCACAAGTTAAAAAATCAGTTTTTAACCAAATTCCTGTTATTCCCACAAAGGTGTGTGTGTAAATTAAATAAATAATAAAATAAGATAATTCAGAAATAATTATATAAATTATTTTTTGAATTAAATGCTTACAGAAATTAACGTCGAGGCTTGTGTTTGACACAATATCCTTAAAGTAGATTTCGCCCTCACTCCAGTGCTTCGAGTTTTACCGCCGTCTACTTTCCAGGATGCAACGATTAGCACTTGATTTTGCAACACTACAAAAACAAGTCTGGTGAACCAAAACTCTGTTGTAACTCTCTCTTTTTCTTCTTAAAAATTAAATGCAGAACAGAAGTAGAAATACAGAGACGAGCAGAAGATAAAGGACGAAAATCTGATGGAAAAAACTGATGAGAAGAATTACTGGAAGCAGGCTTTATATAGGCAGAATGGTGGCTATTCTGAACAGGTGCCAACAGATATGCAACTGTTCGAACAGATTTCAACAGATAGAAAATCTGTTTGGACAGTTCCAAATTTGTCCGGGTGAGGAAAAACTGGACCAAAATTATTTTAATTTGTAAAACTGAAATTAAAAAAAAAATTATTTTTTGGCTCGAAAAGATAAGTGTTGGGTTAGACAAACCCAACCAAACCTCACACCACGTACCCATGCCTGAAGGCGGCGGTGCGTGCGTGTGGTTTTTGTTTTGGGTTCAATGAGCCTAACCCACTTCACCCATAACCTCACACTTCCATAAACTTGGGTACCCCTTGGGCCCCAGCCCAAGTATCCCAAGCTAAGGTATATAAACCCATTCAAAACCTTAAGCCTTTCCAATGTGGAACAAGCATATTTCACAAATGTGTAGAAAACCCATCTAAATACACACAGTAGGAAATTCATCTTTTAGCGGCGTTTTTTAAACGCTGCTATAGGTATCAAAAACGCCGTTAATTCTTTTTGTGACGCTTAGCACCGAACGTCGAAGATGCGGCCATCGCTACAACATTGGGGCGCTTTAAAAACGTCATTAAATGGTTATAGGCGGCGTTTTAAAAAACGTCGCTAAATGTGATACATAACGTTAAACTGACCCATGGCAATTTTTAGCGACGTTTTAAAAACGTCGTCATTGCTTTTTTTTGGATTTTAAAAATATAACCGTTGACTGTATAATGACATTTTCAAAAACGCCATTATATCTTTATATTTTTAATTTATTTTTTTAAAATTATGCTAATTCTATGTGGTTGAACCAAAAAATACAGTAATAAAATTGAAAAATAGTACTAACATGAATCAATAATTCCCGTTTCCATTCAAATGAACATTTGTCAAAAGATAAACCAATTATATGAAAAGCTATCAAGTAGCAAATACAGCATTAATTCACTTTCCCATTCAATTTAGTATACAATTACCATTAACTACAAAATAGCATATCCACAAATTATGTTTTAACATTCGCCAAAAAATAACAAGAAAAACATTAAGACAAACCCCATGAGTTTTGATTTAATTTAATGTCTTGTCCTTGTTACTAAATTCACTGAACCCAGTTGATATAGCATAGAATCTGTAATCTTCACTGGTCTGGAAGCCTGCATCAAAATATGGAAGCCAAATTAAGTAAAGTGCATAAATCAATAATGGTAGAAGTGTTACAGTTATAAAACATAAGATCTACATTACAACTCACCATTTCTGAACAATTTAAATAAATCAGTCATTTCTGAGGCTTTGAAATTGCAGAAAAAGTCAGACAAAAAATATTTTAACATGCTTTTCTCAGATAGCAATAAGTTTATAATAATTGTGACTTCACAAATCAGAATCTGTAATCTTCACTGGTCTTAGATACCAAGTGACTAGTAAACAAAACAAACTTAAGCTTTACTCATTAGCTGTTGGTAGCAAATTCAACACAGGAAAAAGAAAAAAAGAAAAAGAAAAATTAGAAAAATGTGTGGTTATCTGCAGATTTGCTAAAATGAAATGAAAGTGATCTCAAAGGAAATGTTAAAAATTGTAAATTTTTGTCCAATCCCCTCTCAAAACGATGAAAATAAGCACTTTGGATTATCATTTTGGACTGCTAGGAGCCAAATCAACCATATCCTTCTCATTTCTGTTTGTAAAGTATTACTCGAAGGAAAAATAAATAAAAATCAGCCCAAAAGAACATCTTGAAATGAGAAATAAAAATAAGTAAATACTGCCAAACAAGCCCTAATATGTTACTCTGTCCTTTTAGTTCCTTCTCAACACTAACAGAGGTAAATTCCATCCAAAACCATTTATTAAACTAACATAGGTAAATTCCATCCAAAACCATTCATTAAATTGAACCCAAAATCAAAAATGGGATCCCCAAGTATAGTAGTGTGTCCTTGTTCCCTTGGGTTTCTGTATGCATGTTATACAAATGCCCATACAGTGACGTTTAAAAATGCATCGTTAAAAAAACGTCGCCTAAACCCCTTTCTCCTGTAGTGTACACTTCGAAAATAATGTATTGTGTATTCTTTTTGAAAAATAATAATAATAATAATAATAATAATAATAATAATAATAATAATAATAATAATAATAATAATAATAATAATAATACTAATAGTATTAATAATAATAATAATAATAATAATAATAATAATAATAATAATAATAATAATAATAATAATAATAATAATAATAATAATAATAATAATAATAATAATAATAATAATACTAATAGTATTAAAGTATATAATAATAAAAAATCAGTACATTATTAAATTTATAAATTTTTTGACCAATATTTTATTTTTTAATTCTATTTAGATTATTAGATATTAGATTTTCATATAAAAGTCTAATTAAATATAAAATATAGGAAGATCTGATAAGAACCTATGGAAGTAACACCCGTTGGGAGTAGGCAATCTTGGTGTTGTGCCATTGTCTTGACCTGATGTAAATATAGGAAGATCTGACCAGCACCTATTGAAATCATGTCAAGGAAATAACCTCCCCAAGAAAATTCATCCAAGTCCACAATAAACACATTGAAAGAAATACAAAAGAGCATACTCTTGGATTGACTGATCCTTCCCATGCCATTGGGTTTGCTGTCATGGATTCCAACCCAGCACCAATACCTATATAGAAGATGCATACATTTTTAAAGAAATAAATAAAGAATAGATGAGGCATCAAGATTGCTGATATCCAAGCCATCCCCCAATAATAGATGACCCTTACCAATATCATAAAATCCAGCTTTAATAGCTGCAGCTACATCAGCAACTGCCTGAAGACCAGAAGAACACTGCCTATTCATGGTTCTAATCGGCACAGTTTCTGGGCACTGGGGATAAGATATATATCAGCATTCAACAACGCAAGGAACTGAAACAAATACCGTGCCCACAACATCTCCAACTTCACTTGGATTCAGATTTGTTCTCTCTATCAATGCCTATACCAAATACTCATAAGAACAGAATATTCTAAATCTCATTGAACCTTGTTTTAGAGGACATATCAACACATTAGAAGACAACAAAGAAAACAAACCCTCAGAACAGGTGCGAGTAAATCATCAGGATAAGTATCCTTGAAACCCTCCCTCTTTGACTTGCAAAGTGCAGTCCGATATGCCCTGTACAGAGCAAAAAGCACAAAAAGTGTAAAGATATATTACTTCACAAACTTGAGCATAAAAGAGAACTTTAAATAGTGTGAGTTACAAAATGGAACAGCAATAACTACAATTGCACAATCATTTCAAATATAAGCACCCTCTTTATGGGCTCTAGTAGCTACAAAATGGAAGGGGTTCAAGTAAATAAGATCTAGAAGTGATTGAATCCTTCTAGTGTTCCAAATAAGAAAAATGTTTTCATGTATGTCCAATTGAACTTTTAAGTTATGTATAGACCTTCCACAGGAGCATTTTCCGGACTAGCAGGTTGTGCACCTTCAATAGCCAGCCAGTGACAAACAATTGAAGTATAAAGTGGTGCTTTTGGCAAAGGCACTTCAATCACCTACATGTTAAAATTTAAGGAAAAAAAATCAATAAATAAATAAATAAGAAAAGAAACATGGAAAAATGATCTCGCCAAATTAAGACAGTTGGCATAAGAAGCAATCTCTTACATCTTTAAAATCCAAATCCTTGTCATCAATGTAAAACAAATCCTTGTGTCCAGCAGTTCTTCTGAACCGCAAAGGATGCCCGGAGGCAAATCCATAAATTAGCTGACTCAAAAATAGTGGCCAGAATATTAGACACTCAGATTAGAAACACTAAACTTTTACAAAAAGAAAAAGTAAAAATAATGAAAGAAAATATAAGGAAAAGAGAAATTTCAATATTGCCACATAAAAGCTTTTTTTTTTAATCAAATCAGAGCCATCATCTAGATATTCCACATCACATGCATTGAGCAGTGGCAAGCTAAAAGCAAATATATTTTAGCCATTCAAAGGTCAACCAGAACTATCAACTAAGTTGGTCAACCAGAATTAAGGTAGGACACCTCGATTGTACTTTAGTCGTTCTGATCAGAAATAATCACTTAAATTGCAATTGATTGTAATTTAAGCGTTCTTGTTTCTACTTGTGAAGATTAAGCCAAAACTGAAGAATCCTGGTTGTTCCCTATCAACCACGCAATGGTAATTATGGTCAAACATGGCTATTTAAGCACAATCCTATAGGAATATAAATAGAACATAGGAATTAACACAATGTAAAGCTATAGCATTGAATATTTTTGAAATGGAATTACCTCAACATTTCTTAAGTTGAGTGCGTTATCAACATCATCTGTTGTCAACATAGTTCTCTTTGAATGATGCATGCATTTGATTGCCTCCTGCAGAGTTTCACAACAAAAAGTATCATTAAGTCCCACCATCTGTGCATGAAAAATGACATAGAGAGAAAGAGAGAGATTATGTTGTGTAAGATAACTCTTCACAGTTTTCTTCAAATGAAAGTAGAAAATTTAGGAGCCCTTTCACAAAATAAAATTATAGGGCAGATTAGTAGTATTGCAAACTGTGAGCAGCTAAAATTTTTTTAGAATTAAAGATGTTTGTCACTCTATGTTAAAATTTAAAATCACAATGGATTAAAGTTATCAACTATTCAACATAGTCAGCTACACTCTGCTTGGAATTTTAAGTGGTAGCTAATGTACATTACCAAATGCGGTTATGAATATATCACTAAAATCTCAGTTAAAACCACTTAATGGGTTTACAAAAAGAACCATACACAAATACAAAGGAAAATGTTCTTCCATTATATTAAAATGCTACACTTAAAATTTGTACAAAAACTCTATTTACAACCTGATGTGACACCCACATCAACCTGTGTTTTAAAAAGAAGGCAGTTACTGACATGCCAGATCATTTTGCAAGTTTTCTTCGTACGTATAGCATTACATGCACTTTTTACAGCGCATGGACAATACAGCAACCAACAGAGGCAGCGATACAGCATATACAAATCAAAATAGAGGCATGCAACCTAATCCAAATACAAACAAATCAAATAGAGGCATGCAACCTAGTGCTAGGAGAGGCCAAAAACAGCAGCAGATACACAGCAGATTAGCATCAGATACAGAGTAGCAGACCAGCCACACAGCAGCAGAAAAACAGATTAACAGATACTAACAGAGTTGAGACTAGCAGATTCTGGAGAAAAACAGCTCTTTCGGCAGCCTGTCTCTTCCTTTTTTCCCTCTCTTCATAACTCAATGATGGATCAAAACTGCACAGTAAAGAGAGAGAGATGTTCAAATTAGGACTTAAAAAGAGCAATGTTTACATCAGCTTAGGTGAATCAAATATGAGAAAATAGGTATTTCAACAAGTAGAAAATTCAATCTCTCGAGAACTTATTGAGTAGTATGCGTCTCTAGGTGCATCACAGCAACGGTTCTACCTAACCTTTCTTGGAGAAGATACATTTAAGAACCAGAATGTCTAACATGATTTATAGGCACTAAAAAAACATCCAGAACAAGTGAAGTTTTTGAGTAAGAACGATACATTTTCCTAAACATAAAAATGCCCAAGGCTGGACTAGGGAGACTGCCAATAGCCTATAAACAAAGCCACATGTTTCCTAAAACTTGTAAAAGTCGCACGCAAATTATCTTTGGAACATTAGCTGAGAGGATAGGCCTATTAATCTGTAATTTGATGATTCCAATTTCTCCTAAAAAATTATCGAAACCCTATATTTAGCTTAAAATTTAAATAACAAACCATATTTGGATAGCAATGAAGGTGCTCAAGAATCACAATCTACCAGTTTCATTTTTTTTGTTCACTTAAAACAAAAAATATGTTATCGTTTATTTTTGCGAAAGGCAATAACAAATAGCATGTTTGGTACATATGTTTTCCAAAAAAAAAAAAACATGTTTGGTGATTGTGGGGGAGTGGCCAGAAAGTGTTTTCTAGAGGGGAAGGGGAGAATAGGCAGCAGGGGTTGCCGGAGGGCAAGGGGGAGGGAATGAAAACTTGTTTTTTTCAATCATTTTCTGACAAAAATTTGAAAATTGTTCCATTTTTTTGTCAATGAAAAAAATTACCAAACATATTTTTGTTTCTATTTTTTGATTTTTTTAAAAACAAAAATGGAAATTAGAAAATAAAGATGTTACCAAGGCCCTAAAATAATGGATATTAAACAAACGATGAGAAGATAGAGTGCTTAAAAATTGAAGGTTCTCTCTTATCATAGAAAATGATATAATCCACTACCTTGCTTTCCATATATGCGATGATGTCACACTCTTAACGGAACTGTCATCAGCACTGGATAACACGGATTTCAAAATGTCTTTTGATTTAGATGAAGGGAAATTCAAAATAAGAGAGGAAAGGAATGGATCAGTAACTGCATTAGATGAATTTGCATTGCTTGATCGATATCCACTACCTCCTAAAAGAACCTGCAGATGCGCCTCACGAAGATCCCTTCCCAAGAGAGAAAGTGCCTGACTGTTGGGAATCGCAACTCTACGTAATCTGCGACGTCTCTGCATGTAATATTCAGTTAAAGAAAACCTCAATTGGTACCGAACATGGTTCTAAGGTTAACCGTACAACAATTATGAATGCTGTTTAATGCTAAGGAGACAATAAATACACAATAAAACATTTCAAAGGATATCTTGAATAAATGTCCATGTTGCAGAGTGATATGACTTAACATGTCACTCACAACTTTTATGGAGCATATGGGACAAACCTGCAAGAAAACAGTGAAAGCAGTGTGAGTTTCTTGTGACCAGATATTGATTGAAAAACACTATCATCAACTCCTAGAGGTAAGAATTATAAATAAAATAAACCTCCAAGAACAATCAAGATGTTCACTTCTATCTAGTTTCATTTTTATTTTTTTCAGAGGGATTGATGAACAATATACAGCATGGACCATCCCAATCAATATTTCACTTTCACACATCAGGAAGAAAAGCAGGACTATTTAAATTTGTCTACAAACTCCAGCAACTTATGGACCAAAAATGCAGCTCCTTAGGACCTCTCAAGACCCTCCAAGAAGCTTAGGTTGGTGTTGGAGGCGTTAGGCTAAGAGGTGTATTGTAAATGTGCAAGAACAAGGGACTTTGGAGCTTGAAGTAGAGAGATAGAGAGGGGTGTATGTATATTCCTTAACCAAAATTTCTGAACCTTTGCAAATGAGGGAGAGGGTCTCTCTTATAGTGGAACAAAGGTCCAAGCTTCTTCAAGAAACTTGTGCAAAGGTCCAAGCTTCTTGAGGAAGCTATAGTAAAAAGGGTCAAGCTTCTTCAAGAAGCTAAAAAGGGTTCAAGCTTCTCTTAGAAGCTTAGAACAAAGGGCCAAGCTTCTTTAAGAAGCCAAAACAAGGTTTCCAATCCTCCATTGTGTATGGAGGATGCAATCTGTGGCTTCCAGCTGACACAGCTGGCACCAACTCAGTGAGACAGAAAAGGAGAAAGCTTGCCAACCAGTTTAGGTGGTCGGCCGACCAATTCAAAAGGTTCAAGTGAGCAAAAAGTGGTCAGCAACCCTGATTGGTGGTCTCCCAAGTGAGTGCAAGCTAGTGGTATGGTGGGAGACCAGTAAATGGGGCTCAAAAACCAAGGAGACCAGCCTCCTATTTAGAAAATCGGCTTGAGATCCAAGAATGCCAATT